GGCTAAGGCCTGAGTGACAGGAAAAGGGACACAGAAGCCTGCCTTGGGGGGAGCAGGTTTGCCTATTCGTGGTGAGGTTCTGTGTGCATACCAGGCTGAGTTCTTGCAGCCCAGAATTTGTGTTATTCATCAGCAAACAGAAGCGTCTGGAACAGAGCAAATGGTGCTTAGCAGAGGTTTGCTCAGTGATTGTAAATGTTGAGTAGTAATCTGAGTGTTTGCACACTGCTGGTTTGGAGAGAAACATGCTGTACGAGGCCTGAAGGCCAAGGTTGGTTGGCAGTTGGGAGGTCAAGGCCATGTGTAATATAAGCCTAAGGCATGAATTTGGCCCTGCGTGGTCCTGGCGCCCTTCTTCCCCTGTGAATTAGGGACTTCATCCCAGCTAGGGATTTGCAGATGCACGCCTTTGGTCCTTTCGTCAAAGGAGTCTGAAATTTCCATAGACTCCCGCCCAGGTTTTGTCTGTTGCCTCTTTTTCCCCCAAAGTTGATTCGTTTGTTGATTTATCCACTCTGCTAGGATCAACTGAACATGCACTATGTTCCAGGTTCTGTTCTAGACACTGGAATCCAGAAGAACGAGAGACACCCACAGTGCCAGGGACACACCAAACACTGCTAGGTCAATGCATTTCCTAGCCAAGTGCTCTGTGTGCTTGAAAAGATTTCCCGGAAACACTGCCTTCAACAAGAGGAGCAGATGGAAGCATCAGACACTGCAGAGGGCCCTAAATGGGATGCAGAAACATCTCCATTCAGGTGCAGGGACAGCCCAACCTGTTACTGCAGGACAAAGGTGTCACCTTGCTTTGTTCTTTATGTCCCTTCCATGCCAAGTTCAATGATTTAAGAAAAATACACCTAAGACTATATATTTAGAAAGGTTTTTCCTCAGTGAGACCTACTTCTGTTGACCACACCTAGCCCCCTGCCAGGCTCTTCAGAGAAGAGGAGCTCCAATATGAAGTTTCAACAACACAGTGTCACGGGCCGTGCCAGACCAGGGAGAACTGAGCAGTGGAGGCTCCAGTTGGGAGGGGCAACGGGATAAGAAACACCTCAAGACTCCGCCTCCCTCTGCTCTCTTCTCCCAGGCAGCGAGCGAGTGGAAGCACTTCCAATTACTCTTAGAGGCATCATTTACAGCAATCCCCTGTGTCTTAGGGTTTCGGCTCAGGTGATGCAAAGGGAGACCAGGAAGGTCTTATCTAGGATTTGGAGAGAGGACAGACAGGAGCCTCAGAGGTGTGCATGTGCAGACAAGCTCGGCAGAGGAGGGCAGGCTTCCAGGCAGGGGCCCCGCCAGGAGGAAACAGAGTGTGTTTGCTTCCAGGGGGCTGCCCTGCCCTGTGTCTTGGGACTGCAGTGCCCTCAGCTGATTGGATGAACGTGGTCCCCTGTCCGGGGTGTCCTCTTGGCTGTTCAGAGGAAATGGCTTTGGTGGAGTGGAGGAGATTGTCTTTGGGGACAGGTGCCGCCCTAGGAGATCCTTCCTAACAGGGGGCGTCTTTGTGTCCAGGTCCACACAGTCTGCAATGACTACAAATGCCCTGACTTTGTGTGAGCTCTTGAGACTCTGGACTGAGGGAGAATCTGTAAGCCAAGAGAAATGTGTGTGAGCACCCCCCCAGTGGCTCTCAGGGACATCACAGGACAATTCCAGGGGCTACAGGACTTAGCCCTCACCTCCTCCTGGCTGAGCTCCTGGACTTGGCCTCACCCTGGAGAGTCCCTGAGCTGATCTGTGGCTAGGAGACCCAGGCCCAGAGGTTGCTGTAGGGAAGAGATCCGACCCCTCAGGCTTTGAATTGCTTTCTCCCTACATAAGGAAGGATAAAGTGGATAGAGGAAGTCATGAGTCCAGGTTAGAATAAAAGTGAACATTTAATGCCACCATAGTTCGATTCTGTTAAACACCAGATTCTTTTCTGACAACATTTTACACCTCATATGCCACAAAAAGAGATCGTAGCCAGCAAACAATGTCTTCACACCGGAAATGGCACACAGCTTAATGGAGTCATGTCACCAGTTTATGAGAACTTGAACTTTCTTTTTCAGACTGTTCTCCAGGTAAGTCTGTTCGTATTTATCATGATCAAGCCGACAGCTAACTTTTATATAGCTATGTGGAGGCCCATACACAAAAACCAGCCTGCAAACAGGCTGCTGGGACCTGCCCAAGCGCAATTGGTCCAATTTCTGACCTTAACAAATGAGCTTTATTTAAAAAAAATTCAACAGCAAATATTTATGAACTAAGAACTTAATTTTCAAAACAACACTCACTTTCTGCCCATTAAACAGTGGATTCAAAATAATGACTTTAAATACTACCATTGATTTTTAAAATAAGATACTATGAACTTGTTTGTGAATTCGTGTTTCTGATACAATAAATGCACTTGGGCAGGCCTTGTCTCCAAATTTCAGATGGGCCCATTTCTACAGATAAGCATATTTATATATACATACATACATACATTACTCATCGTGGAATCAGAGCTAGAGCCGGAAGGAACTACAAAGATCATTTAGCACAATGTCCTCACTTCACAGATTAGAAAACTGAGTTCCAGAGAAGTTAGGTAAGGTATCCAAGGCCATAGGACTCCTGTGGAAACTGGAATTAGAACTCAGGTTTTCTGTCCTGTGCTCTCCTATGCCTTTTACACTCACACATCCACATACGCACGCGCACACACACACACACACACACACTGGTACAGAAGAGTGATGTGTGTGTTCATATACACACACCCCTGGTGCAACATGATCTCGTGGGAAGAGTCCGCTGTGCTGGACATAAGCCCCGTTCTGCTATAAACCTGCTCTGTGAACTTGAACCAGACGTGACTATTGACTTCAGCTTCTTCATCTCTACGTGATTATCCCAGCTGTTACAGAGAGCGTTAATTTCTTCAAAGCATGTCCCATCAGTGATACCATTTTTGCTTCACCCTATTCCCGAAGGGCAGCTTCTAGGAACCCCCTCCCTGCCCTATTTTCCTCTGGGGAACCCGAGGTCCAGCAGAGTAAGGTGACCCACCCCAGCTGGCACAGCTGATGATGGAGCCAGGCCTGACACCTGCTGCCTTTCTCCTAGCCCAAGGCTCTTCCTCCCAGGATTGGCTGCCTCCCAAAAGTCAGTGCCAACCCCAGCCCCTCCCTGCTTCTCAAGGGTCGAGTGAGGGTACAAAGATGCCTTAAGTATTATTACAGGTTGTAGGAAACACTAAAGTGCTTTGGTTTTTCCAGGAAAAAAAATGATTATTTATATATCCAAGGTAACAACCTCTAGTTGCTTTCTCAACTCCTTTCTTAGCACTGGGGGTGGGGGGTAGGGGTTGGCTGGGACTTTAGGGAAAAGTAGGAAGCAAATACCGTCAGCACTTTCCTGAAATTTAATGTTGAGCCAGCAGGAAGAGTCTGGATCATCTTCCACCCCGCCTGTAGATTTCTAAGACCATTAACATCAAATTCACAACAAAGGGATTTTTCCCCTTTGGCTATTCACTATGCAGACAGCTTAGATTGTAAACTGCGGTACACTTGGAGGACTGGACCCTAATCCCAGTCCTCTGGATTCACTTCTCTTTCCTCCTCACAGTCCGTGTCTGTGTTGACAGACTCTGCTGGAGGGAGAAATGCATGGACAGAACACAGCTGTAGACAGGTCCCCCAGACCAACACGTTAGTGCACAGCACTCAGATAGCAAGCCCAACGTGATGTATAAATAAGTGAAAAAACACACCAGCAATACTGTAAAATAACAGCCCGAGTTGACAAATGAATCAGAACTTCTTCACAACCCGAGTGTGTTAGTAGGGGAATGAAGGGATGGACTGTTTTCAGTTTGGAAGGTCATGTCCATGTGTACATCACACAGGTGTGCGAGTGCCTCACGTGGAGATGCTGGGGACCTCCGCCTAGATGGATGAAGGCTTGACACTGCTTCAGGCACCCCTGGGGTCCAATATCATGCCATCACCTTAGGTTCTGAGTAGGGCCACCGAAAGCAGAATGTGTTGGTTTATAGATGGACAAATCAGTGTGTAAAGCATGTTTCTTCTGGACTGGAACTATGCTTTTATTACCACAGGAATAATGAACAATTTGTAATTTAACAATGCTATGTCTTCAGGGAGATTGCTAAGGAACACAGTTGGTACGTTTTACCCACACACGTTGGCAGACACTTGCTGGAGGAGAGAGGAACACGGTATCGCCACCACCTGTCTCTCCCGACTCTCCCCAGAACTTCAGAACTGACCCTGGCAGCACCCATGAAGCCGAATAACTGGCTTTATTTCACTTGGGGCAGACACAGTGGGCAGGGCTGGCCTCTTCTCTCCATGCAGAAGGCTCGGGTATGGGAGGCAGCCCCCAAGAGTTCCCCTCCTGGCCTGGAAAACTATCCCAGCAGGAAGGAACATGAGTAGATCCATGAAACGTTTTCAGCTGGAGATGAACTCCTCTTTAGCGATCTCTTTTACAGTCTAAAGTCCATTTGGCAAGAAGACACCTAAAAACTTCCAATGCACCATCCCTTTGAAGGGCTCGATTACAGCTCAGCAGCCACCGGTGGCACCGACAGCTACGTTTGCAATGCAGAATCCACGGGCTCTCGGCAGCCTTGCCTTCCAGCCCACGACGGCACGGTCAGACAGCGGCTTTCCAACAGTAACGCCTGTAATGAAGGCTTACGGAGTGGCCACAGTGAATGGTGAGTGTTATAACCTGAAGCCCAAAGCCAGCAGCCGGTTTACAGGGACATGAGTGACAGACACCCAAGTGGGGCACAGTGGTGTTTCTTGCTCAACACTCGCACGAAAATGCACGTGGTAAACATATGACCCGAACGTGTGTGGAAGGCGCCTGGGACCTGTACCCTGGAGGACAAGTCTGACTGCAGTCGGTGCTGCAGACTCTCGGAACGCATCACCTGCTGGGCCACACGCCTGCCCGCTCCACTCCCCACCTTGAGCTGTGTGGGCTTTTTTTTTTTTTTTAATCCCAGCTTTTAATTCGAGGGGCCCCTTCCCTGCTTGGGGTCCCTGTGTGATTTCCACCTGTGTCAATACAGGGCCCACCGCTGTCTTTGCATGGCATGGTCAGAATAGCAATCAGAGAGAAAACAACAGGCAGGGTGTTCTAATTTCAACTCTGAAAGAGATGAAAGTCACAGGCGGCTCCCTCGTGATGTGCAGGGGGCTTCAAGGACAAGAAGATCAAAGGCTCCCGCTCGCAGCTGGGCACCGAGAGCCGGGGACGAAGCCGACTGCCGCTGCCTCAGCGCGTGGCCAGCGCCAAGTGCAGCGTGCCCCCCCCCCCGCCCCCGCAAGCAGCTTCACGGGCTCCCTGTTTGGATCTTAGTTGTGCTTGGCTGCTGAGGCATCGTGTCCACTCCAACCCGTCGAGCAGGGCATGCAGGGCCAGCATTCAGACAGGCAATTAAGGCTTCTGTGTCTAAGTGTTAATTTCAAATACACATTTTTCGGCTCCTTTCATTTGAGCATAATGAAGTGGAAATGAGTTAGCATTCCCTTTGCCTTCTTGGCTTACGCATCACCAAGACAGGAAGGAGGCCCAAGACTCCCACACCAGGTCACTGGGTGAGGCACCCAGCAGTTACTGGGACTGCATCCACACAGAGGGCCGAGGCCTGCTTCCTCTGTGCCCAAGGAGCCTGAGCAGGAACGAGCATAGCACAGCACAGACTAGGGGATTTCTTCAGGTTTTTATAAAACTTAGTGCATTAAGATGTTTGCAGCTTACTTAGGTTAAAACAAGACAGACAACATCTCTGTAAAGATGTCCTTCTACACACTTTGGCCAACAGGATCTTTTGTTTGTTTGTTTGTTTGTTTGTTTTTGTTTTTGTTTTTTTAGATTGCGGCTCAAGCACTTGGGGATGAGCAGGAAACTGGAGTGGAAGTGCAGCAGCCTGGCCAGGACTCGAACCAGCACTCTAATAGGCGACTCCAACGTCGCAGGCCGCAGCTTACCCTACTATGCCACAGCACCAGCCCCTGCCAGCAGGGTCTTAAGAGCTGTTCCACACCGTGGCACCCTGACTTAGGAAGGTAACTCTTGGTGTCCTTTAACCTTTTGTTTATATCAAAAAGTTGATGTAGATGTGCAAAATGTATGAACCTAAGCGCGGGTTTAGGCAGGAGAGCTGACGACCTCGCCCCAGGAAAAAGGGCGCGGATGGCAGGTTTCACTCCCTGTAAATGTCTCCACTTGGTCTCACGGCAGGCTGGGCACCAGGCCCTGTGCTGGCCTGCTGAGGAAGTCTGAGCAACATGGCGACTACTCCACAAGCTAAGCTCACTGATTCCCAATGCAACAAATCTGCTTCCAACCAAAAAAACCAAAGAGTACTCACCTTTGAAAATGCACAGATGATCAGCTGTGCCTGAGGTTGTGTCTTTGGAACCAGCACGGAAAAGGAGCGCCAAATGGCAGACTCAAAGGGCTGGCAGCCTCCTGGGTTCAGGAGCTTGCAAGAATATTGCAGTGAGGCCCCTCTGCACACATGCTGTGGGCCAGAGGTGGGCTAGGAGCCCCAGGGCTGTCCTGCCGAAGGGGTTAGGGTTGAGGAGCTGAGGGAGGCCCTGCGTCCCGGGGCTACTTATTTGTCAATCTGGAGGGATGCACAGAGCGGAAGTGATCCATTCCAGAGGAGCCTGCAGTACTCCCTGAGCACCTACATCCACAGCAAGGCTGCAGAAACTCCTGGGGAGGGTCTGCCCAGCTCCCACGGGCCTCCTGGGCTTCTCGGGGCGCTGGCCAGCTGCATCGTGAAGATTCCTTGGTTGTGCTCTGCCTCTGGTTTCCACCACTAACATGGGTATAAAAATCCCATCAGCAGCTGCTGCAATTTGAGAATGAGGTCCTAAGTTCGCAGGAGCCAAGACCTGCACATCCACCCTCCTTAAACTTAGGGTTCCACGACGCTGGGAGGAGAAACTGTACTCTACCTTCAGATGCCAGGGTTCTGGGAACCAAACTCATCCCTTATGGGTACGGAGGCTCTGGATAGGGGAGAGCTGCACTTCTCGCTTTTAGGCAGTGATTCTGGACAAAAGAAAATGCATGCAATCCCAGGCCAAGCATCTTGTTCTAAACCAACACTATGGGAGTATCGGAGCACACACAAGCCCGAGCAGGCGTCTGAAAGGAAAAAGCCCCTGCTTCCATCAATTCGCCAACCTAGAACAAAGAAATATGGCTCCACTGAATTGGTTCAAGCTTCCAATCCAGAGTCTTTGGAATAAAAATAGTCATGAAAAAGTTCTGAGGGCCACAAACACCCCGGATTTGTGGAGAAAGGAGGGCTGGAATAAAGAGCCCACCTTCAAGGAGAGAGTGGGCCCAGGGCACCAAGGATTCCTTTTCCACTCAAGCTGCAGGCCCTGTCTCCTCTCCTGGTCTCTCAAGTTCATGTGCACCTGCTCCCCGGTCAGCCCTCTGAGTGCACCCGCTGACCTGCTGCTTATAAGAGGTGGCACTTCGCGTCACCTGCCGCTCCAAGCTCTCTTTGGAAACACACACTGGCTTGTGGCAATGAAGTCTCTACGTCCTGTTTGAGTGGCCTTACCAGGATAACCGTCAAAGACAGGGAACATTTATTCATATGCAGTACTGATTAGGAAATATCTCTACAAACACAACTTACTTAGAAACAGCAAGTCAGAAACAGGATAAAACACCAAGAGAAAAACGAGCTGTAAATACACCTCAAAAACGTGTGGGATTTTGTTTTGCTGTTTTCATCTTGACTAGCACCATCTGTACACAAGAAAATATGAACATAAATGTTTGGATAATCATAAAGATTTGCAAGGCACTTAATCAATCATTCTGGGGTGTGTGTATGTTTTTCTTTTTTTTTTTTTTTCCCGCTTTCCACAGCAATCCTACGTCTACCCTCCCCTTTCCTCACAAAAGCAAGACAAGAGTGAGCTCCCTTTTGCTAGCAGTTCTTATGTACAAACAAGTTCTCTGAAGTTCCACAAAGTGCTTGTTCAGTCTCACGGGGCTTCCACGTCCCTTGGGCTTCCCATCATTCTCTCCTTCTATGCGTGTTTAGTGTTTGCACCTTTCCTCCAGGAAACAAAAGAAAAATCGCCTTCCGCTCAACTCACTCCAGACTTGCCACCAACCTTCATCCTCATTCTATCGTCTCTGGGTGCTGCCAGCACAGAGGGCCTGGGGAGGGGGCCGCCCCGTCAGTCCCGGGGAGCCGGCGGCCCGGCTCTTTACCGACGCCTGGAGGTGATGTCGAAGCAGGTGATCATCATGAGGTGCGCCTTGCAGAAGTTCACGCGGCTCTCCAGGCGCTCCGTCACACACTCGAGTGCCTCCAGGTACTCCAGGGAATCCAGCTCCAACACCTGCTCCAAGTCGACTGCAAAAGAAGAGGGACCGATGGAGACGCGGGCCAGCGTGGCAGGGACAGTCCCCTGACCGCCCCGCCCAGGCCACCCCGGGGCCTGCACAGCTCACTGTGCCTGCAAGCAGGCAGCTTCAGTGTCCCCAGCCACCTGCTCCGGGCACCTCTCCAGTGCCCACCACTGCCGCCGGCACAGGGGGCTATGAAATTATTCTCGATTATCCATAAAGGATGTCGCTCTTCAAGCTGAGCGGGGGAGAATCCCTCTTTCTGGGGTCTCACTAAAGTAAGCTATCAACCTGTCTTCTCACATGAAGGTCCTCTGAGCTAGGAAACTTGACCTTGTCTCTCGTGCCTCCTGGTGCAGGCTCACACACTCACTGATCACTGGGGGAATGTGGCGCTGATCACCTGACTATGCGAACAATGGAATTCCTCACTTCAGGAGACATGGGAGCTGGATGCCTGCTCCCTCCTGGCTCCCGGTCCCCTACCCTGTCCTATGGTGGCAGGATAGGCTATGTTGGCTTCTGAAGTGTTGCAAAGGGTCCAGGATGGGGAGTGGAGACAGGCGGCGGCCAGGGGTATTGGGATGGCCCTGGAAACCAAGGCAGGGGATTTGCCTTGGACTTGATTCCCAGCCGGACCACACCAGCTCTGTACCCTCTGGCACAGTTTCCTTAAAAGTGGCCTCAGCACAGCCACCGCTTCTCTGCCAGCCCTGCCTGCCTGGAGGTGCTGTGAGGAATCAAACAGAAATGAGGTAACACACATGGGCCTGGCTGGAGAACTGCACCAGCCTCCGGAAACATGGAGGCCTGGACTAGAAGCTGACCTCTCCTTACTGGCGAGTTCCCTGGGAGCGTGGCAGGGACCAGGGGCTCCCGCATAGCAGCCTAACACTCCGAGGACACGAGAGCACCCCCATACAACAACCACGTCAGGCCACATTCACGGACTGCCTTGAAAGCACCAAAACTGAAGTGGGCCCCAGCCCGCATGTGTGCCTATACCCTGCCCCGCACCCAGGGGGAACAGGCAGCAGGCAGCCTCACTGAGTTGTGTGCATTTTTGTTTTCAATTCCTCTGAAAGAAACAATCTGTATTTCCCTGTTCATGAAGACTTCTGTCTGTTCTCTCTCTCTTGGCAGCAGAGATCAGTGATTCTTCTCAAGTCCAAAAGCAAGAAGTAAGCAGCTGCAACCAGGGAGCGCCCGAGCCGCATCCGCCCCAAGGTTTGCTCCCGCCACGGGGCACGACCGGACTTTGTGAGATGAAGGTAACTTTCAAGTCTACCTTGGGCATGTGGCTCTCAAAAAAAAATACCAACTTAATGAGAACAGTCAAAATGAAGGGGAACTGAGGACCAGGGGTTCTGGGAGGATGGACCAGGGTGTCCACAGGTGGCAGGGAACCGAGCGGCAGGCCCAGGCTTACACCGCAGCCGGGTGTTAGCTGATGGCTTCATTCCTATCTTGTCTGCCCCATTAGTGCCTTGGCTGAAAACGGCCTTGGACGAAGAATTCGCATCTTCGAAATCCGGGCAAACAGAGACCGTGACGTGGCGCACCACGCGAGCAGGCTGCAAGGTAACATCTCCCTTAGAAGGCACTTCACAGGGTTCAGGGGCAATGGAATGAAAGGTGAGTTTACTCTGTGTGAAAGCTTCTGAAGTCTACACGTAGTTTTGTCATGAGACACATCTTCCATGGACTTCTTGAGCATCCTTCTAGGCACAGACAGACTGTTTTTTTTTTTTTTTTTTTTTTATCGACCTAAGCTTATCTTTCAGTTCATCATTTCGCACGGGCTTTTTGAAGTGCCCCCATGTTTACTTGAACTCTGAGACAGCTTAACAGTGACAGCAGACACTGAGCTCTCATCGTGGGCACTGGCATGAGCTGTTTAATTCCTCATAACCACAGAATGTAGGAGGCCACGTTATTTTTTCCATTTCATTGCTAAGGTGTTGAAGGCTCAGAGAGGTTAAGCATCTTACCCAGGATCGCACAGCTGGTGTGTGGGGAAAAAGCCAGCACCTAGAACAGGTCTGTACGACTGTGGGTGTCGAGACAGATGCTGCAGCTGCCCGTGGCACACTGCTCCGCAGACTGGTTACAGTCGTAAGACCCCCAGGGAGGTTCTCAGGGGAGACCGCATGCAGGCCTGCTGTTCCGAGTGGCAGGGCACAGCTGGGAGGCTGAGAAATCCTGTCACTTTCTCCTTCACCCAGGATCATCGCCAGCTCCTGGCTCCACCTGCGGATTCTCCACAGCGACCAGGGAATGCTGGGCCAGGAGACCAGGTGTGAGGGGAGGCTGGGGGCAGGAGGGGAGCAGCCCTTGGCCAGGGCAGGGCGGGAGGTTGGCACCTGCACTGCTGACGTATCAGTTCCCACTGGGTCCGCCAGCACCGGGCCCCATAGCACTGCAGTAGCTGGGACCAGACTTCCGTTTTATTTTTCTAGAAATGGAATGGCTAGGAACAAATAAATAAGAGACAATTGAATCTGTCTCTCAAAGAGAGGAAAATTGTTCTGAATTGTTATTAGACGGTTACTGTCACTCTGGGCTTTCTATTACACGGAAATAACACTGCAGCCATTATTATTTCCACTCAAAAATGTTTTTCTTGCTTTCTGGCTTCTCCGCAAGGCTTTTCTAGGATTGCACATGCTGCCCTATTAAGGGCTCTATAAATTCTTGTCTATTTCAGGCCAGATAAGCAATGGGATTCTGTGGCCTAGGAACAGATTTGTAATACAGCCTTCCTGTCTGGGTGATCTTTCGCTACATGCAGGAGTGGGAGGGAGTCTCATTTTCAGGTGCTCCGGACGGAGACCCATAAGAAATAATCTTGCAAGGACAATATCCACCCCTCTCTGCTGCCCCTGCAGCCTCCTGCCCAGCCCCGGGAGAGCGGGATTGCACACTGAGTGCGGTACGGAGGGGCGAGCCAGGCCCCGGGATACAGACACACTCTGTGTAGGGTTCGCCCTAGGGCAGGTGCCACCCGGCCAGCTGGTGGACCCGCCACGGCAGCCCCGGCGACGAGCCTCACATTCACTGAGCCACTTGTTGGGATCCAGCATCAGGTACTGCTTGGTCGTCTCCAGCTCCTTCATCAGCCACTCGTACTTGGCTCGGACTTCCGCGATCCTCTGCTGGCGATGCTCCAGAATCTTCAGCTTTGCATTGAAGCACATGACCTCCTGGAGGAGAGGAAGAGATGGGGTGGGTGCAGGAGAGGACCCCGTGCGTCAACCCCTTCTCAAAGGCAGCACCCATAGGGATGGTCAAGAAGAAGGCAAGGACCGCAGCCGGCTCAGACAGCCCACCCCAGCCCACCCCAGGCCCCCTCTGGGCGTCTGTGCCCTGTTGGGCAAAGGCTGGTCTGCAACAGGGGTGGGCAACCTTGGGACCAGGCCAGGGCCCAGATGTACAGCATCTCAGGGCTGGCAGTGTTGCACTCTCTCCACAGTCTCTGTCCAGAGGCCCCTCTGCTGGGATGGATGCCCACTGCCTGCCACCCCCACCAGAAGCCGCAGGGAAGCCCCCCGAGTCTGAGCCCCCTCCTCAGGGCGGGAGGCCTCACCTTGCTGGCGCCCCCGCGTCGGCGCTGCAGGCGTTCCACGTCATCGATCTCGTAGACTTTGATCTCAAAAGGCTCTCCGAGGCCCCTCTGGGTGCTCCGCAAGGGGCCGTCCACCCAGCGGCCCCCCGTGCTGTTGGCGGGCTTCCGCACCGGGGAGGCGGTGTCCAGGGACAAGGCTGGGATCAGTCTCCGTCGCTGGGCACCTAGGGAGGAGGACAGGCCCAGAGGTCATCTGTCGGAGTTTCTAGCTTTAAATATTACATTGAGGCAAGTGATGGGGTCACCCCGGCCCCCTGTGATGTGCAGCAGAGCTGCGTCTGACACGTGGCCGCCTCCCACCCCTGCCTCAGTGTTCACCCCAGCCGGCACTTGGCCCTCTCCTACAGGAGCTCAGCCAGAACCCCACCCTACCCTTAGGAGCCACTCCCAGTTGCATCCTATGCGACACGCCCCTCCCCCCAGGACTCCCAGCCCGGAAGCCTGGCCACACTGGCAGGTCCTCCCCAGGCTAGGTGACGGCACCAGGTGCCAGCACTGGTCCTGCAGTTGTAGGAGTTCTGGAAAGCACTGTGTTCTTGGGGCAGCAGCAGCTCTATGTTCATCCAGCAGGGAGCTGGATGGGAAGAGGAGCCCCCAGGACTCCAACCGGCTCCCACATGGGATGCTGGTGTCACAGGCGGTGGCCTTACCGCTTGACCCACCACGCCAGAGCACCAGCCCCCTGTGGGAGGTTTTGGTCTCCCTAGACCCGACTATTTGGAAGGGAAGCCTGTAACGGTGGGATGCCGGCTGCTTCTCCCGGTGGGGTTAGGGTTGGGGTGGATGTCTTTGGAGGCCTGCATTCTTCTGGAAGGAGACTTGTTGGGCAGTGACCACATGGTCCCAGCACGTTTGTCCTGAAGCTGAAGCGAGTGTGATCTAACTTCACTCTGAACCGATGGCTGCTCCATTCCAGAGTTTGAAGAAGCCTTTGCTACCGGCGCTGAGAGCCTGGGCCGCGTGTGATTCAGCTTTGGGAGCCCCGGGTCGGGCAGCCCTGGGCACTGGATGATGGCATGGCCCTGCGGCTTGTCTGGGGGACCCGGCAGATGCCTGCCTGTTACCAGGGACTAATGCAGGAACCAGCGCCACCCCGATGACACCGTCAGTCAGCAAAGGTCACAGAAGCACAGGCAAGAATCTCCAAGGAGCCCCCAGCCCTAATGCCGACGGGGGCAGGGAGGGGCATTCTTCCTGCTGAGCGCTGTGCCTGTGTGGCCTGCTCAAGCTGAAGGCCCTCCCAGAAAGAAACGAGTTGTACTTCCTCCCGGCTCTGCTGAAGGAAAACTCAAGTTCACGCGCCGGCACCTCCGAGAGAAGATCCAGAATTCTCCTGTACAGAACAAGGAGACCAAGACCCGGTGCTGCCTGCTCACCACCTACTCCAGGGAACCAGGAGTGTGAAAACCACAGGACCACTGCAGCTCCCCGTGGCAACCGGAGCCACGGGCGGCTGTCAGGAGCCAGGCAGGGACGCTCAGAGCAGAGTTCACTTCTCCTGTACAATGTTTTTCATTACTCTTTCATAATTTTAATTATTGAGAACTTTCCCATCCTTACGTAAATTTATTCCAAGATGTTTTATTATGGGAGAACAATTGTGAATGGGGTTGCTCTTACGATTTCTTTCGTAGAAAAAAAGTGCTATTGAGTGTTGATTTTGCACCCTGCAATTTTATTGAATCTGTTTACCAATTCAAATAGTCTCTTGGTTGAATCTTTAGGTTTCTCTCTATACAGAATCATGTAATCTGCAAACAGTTATAATTTGCATTCCTCCTTTCCTATTTGTATGCCTTTTATGTCTTTGAATAGAAGGGGTAAGACTGGACATCCTTGTCTCCTCCCAGATCTTAGAGGAAATGCTTTCAGCTTTTCCCCATTCAGTATGATTTTGGTTGAGGGTTTGTCATATATAATCTTTTTTTTTAATTTTAATTTTAATTTTTTTATTTGACAGGCAGAGTTAGACAGTGAGAGAGAAAGACAGAGAGAAAGGTCTTCCTTCCATTGTTCATCCCCCAAATGGCCGCCATGGCTGGAACTATGCCAATCCGAAGCCAGGAGCCAGCTGCTTCCTCCTGGTCTCCCACATGGGTGCAGGGCCCAAGCACTTGGGCCATCCTCCACTGCCTTCCCGGGCCACAGCAGAGAGCTGGACAGGAAGAGGAGCAACTGGGACTAGAACCCGGCGCTCATATGGGATGCCAGCACTGCAGGCAGAGGATTGACCAAGTGAGCCATGGCGCTGGCCCCCATATATAATCTTTTTTTAAAAGTTTTTTTTTTAAGATTTTATTTATTTGAAAGAGGGAGAGGCCTTTCATCTGCTGGTCCACTCCCCAAATGGCTGCAGCAGCCGGGGCTGGGTCAGGCACAGCCAGGAGCTTCTCCAGGTCCCCCATGTGGGTGCAGGGGCCCACGCATCTGGGCCATGCTCTATTGCTTTCCAGGTACATCATCAGGGAGCTGGACTGGAAGTGCAGCAAGCAGCTGGGACTCCGACAGGTGCCTTATGTGGGATGCCGGTGTTGCAGGTGGTAGCGTACCTGCTATTGCTGCAACCTGTGGTCTAGGGGTTGTGGGGAGAGCACATAAGCTCCCCTCTGAAGCGAAACTGCCACATACACTCTAGGGAGCTCTCCTTTGCTGGGCGCCACGCCTCTGACCACTGTGGCTCCCTCCTGTTGCTAAGACTGCTGCTGTCCAGCCTCCCTGGAGACAAGGTCTTCAGGGGCTCTTGCTTACCCTTTTCCTGCTGGGGGGCTGGGGTCCCGAGTGCTGTGTGCTTTGTTGCCCCCTCTTCACTGTCCATCCGGGTCCCTGTGCCTGCTGGGTTCCAGTGTGCTCAGCTAGACTCTCACAGTGCAATTGCTTACTTGTTATTTTGGTCCTTCTCTGTAGATAGAATGAATCCTGAACACGGAACCTCTATTCAGCCACCATGGAGCAGTCGCCTGTGTTTCTTCCCTTCCCCCCAACTTTACATTCCTGAAAGTTCTCCCATTCTGAACCCTTTCTCATCTGTCTCTAGGTTGGTTCTCTTACAGGCACTCTGGAAATCTTACATCTGCCAGCAAACGCCCGGATTTCCTCCAGTTTTCATTCAGTCCATGGCCACTGTTTCTTAAATTCCTTCAAACAAAAGCAGGACGGCCCTGAGAAGCCAGTGAGCGGCAAAGGGTCGGCAGAGCCAAGCTCAGTGCTCTCAGGCCCTGGTGAGGAGCGATTAGTCACAGTATCCGTGCAGCACCCTGTAAACCGAGCCTGGCATCCCGGGGGCATCACCACAGGCGGCAAATCACACATCCAGAATGTTTGCTCGGCACCAAGAGGTGGGAGGGCCTGGCATTTAGTGCTTGGAATGACCAAGGAAATAGCAGACCAGATTCAACATTTCCAGGGCTTCTTGCAAGCAGCGCGAGATAGGAGGATATATGTAGAAAAGAAATACGAGCTTACTTTTTTAGGTCTATGCTGCCAAGAAACCAACTAACCAGTCAACGAGCTGTTTGCCAGTTTCCAATGGAAACCTGAACCCGCTCAGTGCTGGGCACCAGTGGCAGAAGAGGCCTCACAGGAGCTCACGTGCAGGCAGGTTCCAGAACCAACACGCGTGCCTGGCCTGGCTTCCCTCGAGGCAGCCCTCACACGGGCATTCTGGCTGCTGCTCCCCCAGACTCGGGCCTCCTGCTGGCGGGCATGAATGTCAGACCACAGTACTCATCCCACCATCAGATTTCCCCATTCATCCTGAGACAGAGAAAGCAAGAGAAGGAAGCCAAGGAGGTAACACACCAGGGTTGGGGTCAAGTGTAAGGGGCCAGAGGAAGAAGACAAAGAGTGTTGGAGGGGAGAGCACAGGTAGTGTAATAGGTGACACAGGAGGGATGTGGTCGTGTTAGTGGGTGCCATGGCTGCACAAACACATCTATGCCAATGTACACGCACACTGTCAGGCAGACACGTGCCCCCCACCTGGGCTGGCCGCCACGGCTCTCATGCATGACTGCAGGCCTCACAGACTGCATCTCATTGATCATGAAGGGGCTGGCAAGGAGCTGTGGATGCGTGAGTGAATTAACTCCAAGGGTCTCTCACCTTACCACTTCCTTTTTTTTTTTTTTAAAAGAATTATTTTATTTATTTGAAAGAGAAAGAGAGGTCTTCCATTCCGCTGGTTCACTCCCCAAATGACTACAACGGCTAGAGCTGAGCTGACCCAAAGCCAGGAGCTTCTTTCGGGTCTCCCACGTGGGTGCAGGGGCCCAAGGACTTGGGCCATCTTCCCACTGCTTTCCCAGGCCACAGCAGAGAGCTGCATCAAAAAAGGAGCAGCTGGGACTCAAACCGGCGCCCATATGGGATGCCAGTGCTGCAGGCTGGGGCTTTAACCCACTGCACCACAGCGCCAGCACCACAAAGGATGAGAGAGCTCAAGGTTGTTCTCCCAGTGATACAACTCTCATTCATTTTTACTAAGGAAATAACTGAAGCATTACCATTTTCCAATTTCCAAAGCCATCTCTGATAAAAGATAAGCGCTTGCCTCCTCTGCCATTCCAAGCACCTCCAGTAATTGTGAACGGGAGCCATCCAGTCCAGAATTTCAAGAATTTTATGGCTTCCCTTAAAGAAGTTGCTTTTGATTTATGCTGATCAGACCTGACAGCCAGCATTTCTCTTAATAATCATCATAAATAAGCTAGACAAGGTCACCTAACCTGAAATGAGCCCATCTCTACTGCCACCTGCCTCACAGGGCACTGAATCTGTGGCCGGCGCTGCTCACCAAGGTCCCAGGCGTGCTCCAGCCCCTCTCCTGGGTAGCATGGTGCACCCCGGTTTCCCCCAGGGCCTGGCCCACCCAGATGCCCTCCGAGGACAGCATTTATGAAGGGACACAGATTACTACAAGCACATGAAAAGAACTTGTTGGCTGGCGCCGCGGCTCACTAGGCTAATCCTCCACCTGCAGTGCCGGTACCCCAGGTTCTAGAGCCGGTTGGGGCGCCAGATTCTGTCCTGGTTGCCCCTCTTCCAGTCCAGCTCTCTGCTGTGGACTGGGAAGGCAGTGGAGGATGGCCCAAGTGCTTGGGCCCTGCACCCACATGGGAGACCAGGAGAAGCACCTGGCTCCTGGCTTTGGATCGGCACAGTGCGCCGGCCATGGCAGCCATTTGGGGGGTGAACCAATGGAAGGAAGACCTTTCTCTGTTTCTCTCTCTGTGTAACTGTGCCTGTCCAAAAAAAGCAAAGAAAAAAAAAACTTGCTGCCTCCTCTCCACACGGGTATTTTATACATCTGTTTTCTTGACATTTCTCTTCCCCTCTCCCGCAGTGTGACCGCCAAATCAAAAAAGGCGAGTGTTGAAGAAGAGAGTTAAAGAATGCTGTGGGCTTATAGCACTAAGTTCAAGGACACAGAAAGGCTCTCTAGCACTGGAACGCATGGGGCTGCACAGCACACATCACACTCACACCACCGTTTGCTCTCAGAAGAGCAGGGCCACTAACACGATTTAATCAGGTCCGGGAAGGCTAGCAGATTCTTTTTTTCCCCACTAAGACGCTGGCTGAGATTAACATTCTTATTTTCAGTATCTATTTCAGTGCCCTGGCCCTGACACTAGGTCACAGCAGCCGTGATGGTACAACGAGTGGCTTTCCACTTCTCACTCGTCCTATCTGGGGTTCTGCCCCAAGGTCTGTTGCTGTGACCCTCGGGTGAAGCAGAGCCCAGTCCCGGTGTGTTGAGGACGGAGACACACGCCACCTGGGGAATGAAGACATCAGGGCGCCGACAGCCGTGATGGTGCCTGAACCCGCTCAGGAGGCCACGTCCTCACAGCCGTGTCTCGTGGCTTGTGTGTGTGTGTCGGGGGCTAGTTAGAGCAGAATGTCTGAGGACCTAAACCTGCACAGGCCCGCCGTGAAGCTGAGTGGATCGGAGGGAGACTCGTGGTTTCTGATGTGCGTGGACCACGGCCCTTACATCTGCCCTGGAACGCTCCAGGGCTTGCTGTCCCTCGCCTCAACCAAGGTACACAATTGCACGCGGGGCTCTATGTAAGATTTTGTTTCCCTAAACAATTACAAGTGCCAGCGTGGGTGTGACTCCTGGCTCTAGCTGCTTACTGCCAGCTGCGTGCGGATGCAGACTCCGGAAGGCAACAGATGATGGCTCAAGTCGCTGGGTCCCTGCCACCCACATGAGAGGCCTAGACTGAGGTCCCAGATGCTGGCTCCAGCCCCTACACCACACGCATTTGTGCAGTGCACCTGTGGACGGGAGCTCTGTCTTTCTCTGCTTCTACACTTGATCTTAGCCAAAAGACTGAGAAGCGATTTTCTAACAATAACAAAAAACAAGTCCTTAGGCTAAAGAATATGTAGGGATCACTTCTTTGGAAGCCATTTAAGAGCAGAGATGATTCCAGCAAAATTCTCAAGCAGCTTAAGTTGTTCTTGGTACCTTTTTTTTTTCTTTAAGATTTATTTTATTTATTTGAAAGAGTTACAGAGAGAGGTACAGACAAAGAGAGAGGTCTTCCATCCACTGGTTCACTCCCCAGATGGCTGCAATGGCCAGAGCTGAGTTGATCTGAAGCCAGGAGTGAAGAGCTTCTTCTGGGTCTCCCATATAGGTGGGGGGGGGGGGGGGGCAAGCGCTTGGCCATCCTCTGCTGCTTTCCCAGGTACATAGCAGGGAGCTGGAAGTGGAGCAGCCAGGACTTGAACCAGCACCCATACGGGATGCTGGCACTGCAGGCCAGGGCTTTAACCCACTGCACCACAGTACTGGCCCCTCGTGATAACTTTTGGTCCTATTTCTTCTCTCTCTCTCTCTCCACCCTCCTCCACCCCATGGCTGCCAGGCCATGAGCTCTAACTTGGGGTTTCTTCTACTTGCCCATCGTAATTCACTGCCATGTGTCTCCCAAAACTCCACTTAACAAGTGGTCTTTCCATGTCAGGAGACATGGCAGGAGATTGGTAGACAGGACAAAGACCTCCCCAACAGCAAGCCAGACCATCCCCCCAACCACCCCGTGTGTGTGTTGGGGGAGCACTCACAGTGGGGCACTGCTCGGCCCCTGGCAGTGTGCAGATGTGACTTCCGTCCAGGGTCTTTGGGCTAGGGAGGGGGAAGGGCCGCTCCTATTGCATGGTTAGTGTCACTGCAGGAGGTGGCCAGGGACCCGGAGGCCACCTGCCCTCCATGTGGGCTTCTACGGCCATGTCCCGAGAGAAGCTGGTCCCCTGGAAGGCTCTGAGCCCCTAGTACTGTGGCCCCCTGAGCAGATAAACCCACAGCTCCGGGTCTGCGATGAGGGCCTCAGTAGAGGAAGAGCCTGTCCCGGGATCCTCCTTGTGCACCAGGCACCTTGGCCCGGGCTCCCACCTGAGCAAGGGCCAGTCCCAGCCTCAGGTCTAAAGATACACACACAACAGGAGGACGCTACAGTCCTGGGGCACAGCGTGACAGCCCCGGGCAGGGCAAGGGAGAGACCAAGCCTCCTACCCACCAGGCCTCCTCACCCCCTACCTGGGGCACTGGTGCCCGTGCAGAGCCCTCTGCCCACCCCGGGGGCCCCCGAGCCTACCTGACGCCGACCGCTTCTTCGGGGCTTTCAGGCTCCGGCACCTGCCGCCCACGGAGCTGCTGTTCTCGCTCATGGAGTCCTGGGCGGAGGACGCGCTGCCCGTGGCCTCGCTGTCCCTCATCATGCTCTCGTAGCCGCTGCTGCCGCCGCTGTGGTAGAACAAGGCCGTCTTCCCCATGGCCGGCGGGAGCTCCCCGCTCAACACGCTGCTGTTGTCACTGCCATGGCCGCTGCTGCAGCGGTGGGGCTTGCGGGGCGGCGTGATCTTGCTGTAGGGCGAAGGCAGCAGGTGCGCGGCCGCCGGCTTGTCCTCCGCGGGAGCCCCGCCGCGCTCCTCCGCCTCGGGCCCGGCCCGCAGCTGCAAGCCGCGGGCGCCCGCGCTGCCCTGCAGCAGCTCCGAGATGCGCCCGTTGACGGCTCGCAGCGGCAGCTTGGAAGCCAGTCCCGAGCTGCGGTTCCTGCTCAGGGACTGCGTGGACCAGGACATGTGCTTCCCGCTGGGGGGCAAGCTGGCGCTCTGGCCCACCGACTGCGGCAGGGACTTGGTTGAGAAGCTGAGGGTTTTGGTGGTGGAAGTGGACAGGCCGCGCGCCTTGGGGCTGGCCAGCAGGAGCTTGCTCACGGCTGACATCTTGGACTGGCTGGCTTTGGGCGAGGCCCCAGCCGACTGGGGCAGGCCGCAGGTGGGCGGCGACCCCCCAGCGCTGCGGCCCGGGCTCCTGCCGGCTCGGGGCATGGTGCTGTCTTTGCCGGCATGCATGCGGGAGCTCATGGAGGACAGGCTCTCCGCCCTCTCCAGCGAGAGACACTCGTAGTGGCTGACTGTGGCCCTGCCCAGGGAGTTGGTCCTACTGGCCAGCTGCTCCAGCTTGGCACTGAAGAGCTTGCTGCTGCTGCTGCTGCTGCCGCCGCCGCCACTGCTGGGGTCCTTGCCCTTGCCTGCGCCGCTGGCCTCCTCAGGGAAGCTGGCCAGGAAGGTGGCTGGCTGGTTCAAGGGGCTGCCCGTGCTGCTGCTACTGCTGGCGCTGTGCTGGGGGCTAGCCCGGTTCTTCTGGTCCAAGCTGGACTTTCGGACGGGAGGCAGAGGTGGAGTCCCTTTGGGCCGGGCCAGGACACAGTGCTTCGGGGAAGCCACCTTCCGGTCCAGGGCGGCCTTGGTGTCAGCTGCACAGTGGAAGAAAAGGCCGTCCGGCTCCTCCTGCCTGCTGCCTTTCTGAGACGCCCTGGGAAGGCTGCTCGACTTGAGGCTCCTGCTAGGGTGCACGGGGCTCTGGGCAGCCAGAGCCGGCAGAGCCCCCTCGCAGCCATCCACCACCCTCCGGAAGCTATCCTGCCCCGGGGAGGCGGACACCTCGCCGCCGCTCCCACAGCTGCTGCCGCTCAGCCTGTCCTCAGGGCTGGGCTTCCGGTCCTGCTCCTGCTCTGCCCTGGCCTCCGGCTTGGAGGGCCCCGTTGCCATCTCGAGCCTCGCACTCTCTTCACAGGGGTAAGCGTTCTCTTTCTTTACCTCCTCTTCTCGCTTCAGCCAGGGGTCCTCAAATTTCATCTCTTTCTTTGCCGCAGTTTCCTTACTCTCCCGGGCCTGGGCAGCCCTGGGGGCTGCTTTGGGGGTGGCGCCGCCTAGCTCGGGCTCTTGGATGCTCCGGGGGCTCATGGCGATGCAGGGGTACACCGTGATGTTGGTCTTCATGGGGATGTACCCTTCGCAGCTGCTCAGGTTGGCTGTGTTGGAGATCGTGACCATGGCCTTGCCCAAGGTGGATATTTTGCAGCCTTTGATAGGGGTGGCCTTGTTGAAGGACTCTTCCCCGCCCATTTCAGACAGGATGAGCAGGTTGTCGGGGCCCGCTGCCGGCTTTTCTCTGCACACCACGGCGGCGTTTGGGATGCTGCTGACAAACTCCGAGGCCGGAGGCTCTGCCATCGCCTCCCCATGCCCGAAACACGTCTGGGCTATGAAACTGTGGCACGACTGCTCCCCGTCACTGCCTGTGCTCATCTCGCTCAGCCAGGAGCTGATGGAGGAGCGGCGGCTCCCGGTCTCCCGAGCTTTCTCGTCGAGGCCCAGCTTGGGCAGGGGCAGGAACTGCGTGATGCTGACCTCGGAGACGGGGGCCACGCTGGAGCAGCACTCCAGGTCCTCGCTGATACTGCTGATGATGCTGACGGGGCGCGAGCCCGAGGCCAGGGCCTGCACGGAGCAGTCACTGTTGAAGCTGATGATGCTGGTGGGGCGGCCGCTGTCCAGCACCCCGCTGATGGTCAGCTCCTCCACCAGCGTGAACACCAGCTCGTCCTCGCCGTTCAGCTCCAGCGGCTGCTGCACCGTCACCGTCGTGGTGCTCAGGATCTCCTTCTTGGCGTCCGGCGGGGTGGCTGCCTGAGGCTCGTCCTCCCCGGGGGTGGCCGGGAACCCGGAGCTCCCAGCAGACATGGACTTCTTCACCACCTGCGGGCTCATTCCCACCGGAGGGGTGCGCACTTCGGGCTGCAGCAAGGACTCGCTCGAGGCCACCCCGGAGTCCTTGCTCAAGGGAGGCAGGGGGGCCGGGCTGGGCAGGACGCCCTTCTGGGTGTAGACTTTGCACCTCTGGGAGGGAGAGCTGGGCGGTTTGTACTCGGAGGTCTTGGACAGGCTGGCGACACCCAGCCGGGGGGAGCCCATGGGCCTGGGCTTGCCCTCCACAAAGCCGCAGGAGTTCAGGCTCTCCCGGCTGCTCTGGAGGCTGGGGCTCTGCGCGAGCTGGGACGTGCCGTGCTGGCCGCCACTGCTGCTGCCCGGGATGCTCCTGGGCGAGGCCGGGGCCGGCACAGGCGAGTGGTTGCTCTGCATCTTGGAGGCGGAGGGCTCTGTGCCTTCTCTGTCGGCCAGCTGGCCGGCTGAGCCATCGTCTTCCTGATCGGACTCAGACAGCGGGCTTGCCCCAGCAGCGCGGCTCGGCGGGGGGCCCTTGCTTGCCTGCTCTGCCCCAAACTGGACAGGCAGCTCCTCGAAAGGAAACTTGCTGGGCTCTTCACTGCCGTCGATGCAGTCCAGCCGCTCCTGCAACTCGGCAAACGTGTTGCACTTCAGGCAGTCCCGTTCGGGTTTGCTGGCGCTGGCCTCGGCCGCCTCCATGGCCCGGCTGTCGCCCCGGCTCTTCTGCAGGGCCGGCACGATGGGGACAAAGTCCGGCGGGCCCTCGTTGTCGGTGAGCTCCTTGTCCGAAAGGGCCGTGCCGTTGGGCCCGATGTAGATGACCGTGTCACAGGACTGCTCGCTGCTGGAGGAGTAGTCGGGGTCGCTGGACAGGTGGGCCATGGGGAAGTCGTCCACGGCGGCCCTGGCGTGGAAGGGGCGCAGCTGCGTGGGCCTGCGCATTCTGCCTTCTTCACAGGAGCTCTCTCCCCCAGAGGAACTCGACGTGTACTGCGGGGCAGAGAACCGCCGTCAGCAGGGGGCTCTGCCAAGGCAGCCCTCCCGGCATGCTCAGCGTCACCCGGCACATGGGGGTGCCGCTGACTGAGCACGGGCCCTGCAAGGCCACCCTGGCTGGCCTCCCTGCCTGTGGGCTTGCCAGCACCCCGCCATGCCCCAAGTCCCAGCTGCACATGTGAGGAGCAAGCCCTGAACGGCACACTGGGGAAACTGAGCCTGTGCGTGCAAAGAGGTGACTGGTCCAGGCCTTGCCTGACTTCCTAAGACTGAGGGGTCACCGGGTGCCACAGAATGCCACCTGGAGAGCCTGTCGTAAAAATTGGTTTTTTTTAAAGGGGAAGAAGAAAATGAAGCCCCACAAGTCACCGGGTGACCCTGGATCTGAGGGTGCAGGGTCCCCACCGTCTTCCCCAGCACTGTCATGCTGCCCCTGCCCTGCTCACACAAGCCAGGGGCTTCCGGCAGGCTCTCAGCATGCTCTAGAAAGCATTGCATTGATAGGACAAACCCGGCAGCCAGAAAACGACTCCTGGACAGGCGGCGGGAGAAGGGGCACCTGGTGAGCAATTAAGGGAGCCGACTCAGCCTGCAGCTACAGAGGACCAAGGGACGCAAGAGAAACCCGGGGCTTCTCTCCCAACACCCCTCCCACTCCTTCATCTCAAAGTAGCAGGCCACCTGTGCCATCTCACGTGGGCCACGCGGACACTGGGGGCAGCGCCAGCTGGGGGAGGGGACAGGACCGTCTTCCTCGAAGTGGACAGTGCAGCAGACCCCTGTCCACATGTCTCTGCAGCCCAGGGATCAGCAGCACTGATGTGGTTTCTCCCGACTCGGTTCCTTCATGCCCCCCCACACCCCGCAAGCCCCTTACCTTCGTCTTCTTCTTCTTCATCCTCAAGACCCTCGAGGCGATCTGGATGGTGGACAGGGTTTCCGCATAGTTGCCGGCCGCGGCCGAGATGTGCGCGATCATGGTGGTGCGACAGTTCATGTTCCCCAGGGACTCCCGCAGCAGCATGGTGAGCTTGCTCTCCCTGTCCAACACAGTGAACGAAGGCTGCATCAGTGCGCCACGCTTCGCTTCGGCTGTCAGGGGAGGACTTCAGCTCAGTACCCGCCTGTGTTGTTGTGGGTGGTGGCGGCTTTTTGTTTTGTTTTGTTTTAAATGGTATATATATATATATATATATGTATATATATATATTTTTTTTTTGACAGGCAGAGTGGACAGTGAGAGAGAGAGACAGAGAGAAAGGTCTTCCTTTGCCGTTGGTTCACCCTCCAATGGCCGCCGCGGCCGGCGCGCTGCGGCCGGCGCACCGCGCTGATCCGATGGCAGGAGCCAGGAGCCAGGTGCTTTTCCTGGTCTCCCATGGGGTGCAGGGCCCAAGGACCTGGGCCATCCTCCACTGCACTCCCTGGCCACAGCAGAGAGCTGGCCTGGAAGAGGGGCAACCGGGACAGAATCCGGCGCCCCAACCAGGACTAGAACCCGGTGTGCCGGCGCCACAAGGTGGAGGATTAGCCTAGTGAGCCGCGGCGCCGGCTTTAAATGGTATATTAATTAGCATCGTTTTCCAGCACGGGGCATTTGTAGCTGGCAGCTGAGCAAATGCTTCTAGCTCCAAGGATGGAATTCAGCAAAGGACCTCCCTGGGCACTTCTGCCCTGGCTGTGGTGGGCTCTGCTCCTGTGTGTCTGTGGATCGTTTCACGGGTAACAGGGCCTGGGGCTAGGAAGGAGAAGGGATCTGGGAAAAGGGCTTGGAGACTGGCGGCTCCCTTGCTATCTCTGCACCCACGCCCGCTCTGCAAGCTTCTGCAACAAAGTAGCACCCAGCCACGACCTGTACTGAGATCTGCGTGCTGCTGATAAACACACGGTTATCCTTGCCGAGGAGTTGCAACCAGTTTATTGTCACTGTCTCTTACCGCTCATATCCATACTGAGCATCAAGAAAGGACGGTAGTGGAGAACCACAAAGGTCCCAAGTACCCATTCTATCAGCCACAGAAAGAACTTTCTGGAAAGGCCTTTGCAGGTGCTATGTGGGACCAGTGTCTTAAGTGGTGATAATGAAGCCCATGGGTTAATAAACAGCATTTTTAGGCTCTTTAACAATCAATCTGGTGGGGCTGGTGCTGTGGCATAGTGGGTAAAGCCACCACCTGCAGTGCCGGCATCCCATATGGGCACTGGTTCAAGTCCTGGCTGTTCCACTTCCAATCTAGCTCTCTGCTAATGCGCCTGGGAAAGCAGTGGAAGATGGCTCCAGTGGTTGGCCCCTGCACCCATGTGGGAGACCTGGAAGAAGCTCCTGGCTCCTGGCTTTGGATTGGCCCAGCTCCAGCCATTGCAGCTATTTGGCGAATGAACGAGCAAATCAAAGATATCTGTCTCTAACTACTTATCCCACATTTTTCCTGCCTTGCTTCTTTCAAATAAATTACTTTTTTTATTTATTTGAGAAGCGAGTGAATGAGCATGCCTGCCCACTGGTTCACTCTCCAACGCCTGCAATGGGCAGGGCTGGGCCAAGCTGAAGCCAAAATCTCGGAACTCAATCCAGACCTCCTACATGGAAGGCACCCAAGTACTTGCCCTCACCTGCTGCCTCACAGGGTGCTCATCAGCAGGAAGCTGGATTCTAAAGCAGAGCTGGGACTCGAACCCAGGCACCCCTAGTGCAGTCTTCACTGCTGCGCCAAGCTCCTGCCCCGCCCTGCTTCTTAAAGGTGCCCGCAGCCACGCCCGCTCAGGTGCTGCCAGCCGTCATTCATGTCTGGAGCTGGCCCGGTCCTGAAGGCAGAGGGAGCCCCACATCGCCAGGGTACACTGTGATGCCAGAGGAGAGGAGTGTGTCCTTGTGTCCACGTCTCCGTCGGGCTGCATGCCGTCTCCCCACAGAGGGACCATCCCGCTCCGCAGACTGCGGGAGACTGCCACCGTCCCACACCCGCCCAGCCGCCAGCCGCCTCGAGGGAGGTCCACGGAGTAAGAGCAGCAAGCGTCTTCCCACTTGGGACCAATTAAGGTGTCAGTTCGGGGATGCTGGGTTCCCTGGGGCTGAGTTCCAGGTAATTAAAAAATATCACAGGGCTGCCTTAAAGCAAAGTAATCAGCGATAAAGCCACCTGTGGTGGAAGGAACGGTACGAGCACACAGAGGGGGAGGGGCCCAGCCGCGGGATGTATCCAGCAGGGTGTCGTGGTCACCACCACGCACAGGGCAGTCCTGTCCCAGTCCTGCCCCGCGGGAGTCCTGGCCGTCGTCTTCACTGTAGGAGGTGGAAGACAGAGTCCGTTTGGGTTCAGTGTGCTCACACACGGTCAGGCCTCGTAACTCACTCAGACTGTGTTCTGCAAACACTTGTGCATGCGGGATTACTGAACACTGAACCGCAGCTCGGAGGGCGAATCCAAGCTTTAGGTTCTTAATTTTTTTAAAAGATTATTTATTTATTTGTTTGAGAGGTAGAGTTAACAGTGAGAGGGAGAGACAGAAAGGTCTTCCTTCCATTGGTTCACTCCCCAGATGGCGGCAACGGCTGTAGCTGCGCAGATCCAAAGCCAGGAGCCAGGAGCTTCTTCCTGGTCTCCCACATGGGTGCAGGGCCCAAGCACTTGGGCCATCATCCGCTGCCCTCCCAGGCCACAGCAGAGAGCTGGACTGGAAGAGGAGCAGCCGGGACTAGAACCAGCACCCATATTAGCAGGGAGCTGGATCGGAAGTGGAGCAGTGGAGTCTTGAACCAATGCCCATATGGGATGCCAGCGCCACAGGCAGAGGATTAACCTACTATGCCATGGTGCCAGCCCTAGGTTCTTAATTTTTAAAATGATAATCTATTTTCTTCTAGCTGAAAGGCAGTGAAAGAATTGTCCATCTGTTGGATCATTCTTCAAATGCAAGTAGCCAGGCCTGGGCCAGGCCAAAGACAGGAACCTGGCATTTCTTCCAGAAGGGGAGCCAGGATTCAAACTAGTACCACAATACAGAGCAGGCATTTCAAGCGGTGGCTTAACTCGCTGCGCCACAACACCTACCCTCGGTTTAGGCTGTGTGGGCCTCTAGTCACAGCAGTTAGTCAGCTGGTCCACACACACCTAGCTTCATGTCTGCTTCTGTGGAAAAACACCTATTAAAGTAGCTATTTCTGGGGCCGGTGTTATGGCATAGCAGGTTAGGCCACTGCCCGCAACATTGGCATCCCTTATGGGCACCGGTTCAAGACTCCACTGCTCTACTTCTGATGCAGCTCCCTGCTGATGCACCTGGGAAAGCAGCAGAAGATGGCCCAAGGTCTCTGGCTCCTGCACACACGTCAGAGATCCAGAAGAAGCTCCTGGTTACTGGCTTTGGCCTGGCCCATCCCTGGCCATTGCAGCCATTTGGGGCATGAACCAGCAGATATAAGATCTCTCTCTCCGTCTCTGTATCTCTGCCTTGCAAGTAAATGTTAAACACAGCTGATGTATGCAGCATTCCTTCAGAATAAAACACGGGAGAATTTCTCTCTGGACCCTGCCTACTCTGCCTGTGACCGTCTTTGGCTTCAGCCTCTCAACAGTGCTGTCTGCTGTGTCTTTTTCTTGTCGTTTCTCATCATCTCATTCATGGTCAAGGTCGGCCACTGTTCCACCTTCACCGTAGCTAAACTATATACTCCACCCGCTGCTTCGGCACTTTTCTTGGAGTGGCCTCGCAGCCAGCTCAGGGCACTGCCTCTTCCTGTATTACTGACGCATTGGCCCTGGATTCATGGCCAGTGGCGCCCTAGCTCATGGCTGACGAGAGCATCAAGCTCTCTGGCCTCTGAATAAGACAAGTCGCAGCCTCCTGGCCCTGCGTGGTGCCAGACTTCAGCCCCACACGTGGGGGTCACTTAGCAGCATCGCCAACGAGAAGCACAAAACAGCAGATGCCTCGGGCTCAGGTTTCCAGTACGAGAGCTGCACCAAGAGACAGCGTCACCTTGGTGCACCCCACTGGGGACATGTGCACCTGGACGCTGAGCTGTCACCTCTCAGCATGTGGCCGTGAACGCCAGCAGAAGCTCGGTGAGCACCAATTCTGAGGTCACAGGAATTTTAGTGAGCAGGCAACTTTGAAGAAGGAACTGCTCTGTGGGGTTCCCCCCGAGGGGGCCTGTCACTCACACCTGGCGGAGGCCACTTTGTCTCCACACGAGCCCAGGGAAGTCCTTGGGAAACGACACCACCACAGAGAGAACAAGGGGCGGTACCACTGTCACTGCCAACTGCTGGCCTGCCCACCCCCAAGAGCCCCCACCCGTGACTCAATCTCACAAGCAGATGTTCATGACGATCCTTGAACTTGCAGCAGAGACAGTGGGTGAGGGTAAGGGTGAGTGCCAAGGACCCAAGGTGCAACTGTCGGCAAACCCAGTGACCCTGGGAGGAACCGAGACCATTCCAGAGAGCCTCCAGGGCAACGGGCAGGCAGAGGCAGCCCCACCTCTGCATCCAGACTGAAGTGGCAGGAAGGACGCCAGACTCCTGCCTCCCGTGGGAGGGGCCCTGGCCAGGGCGGGGACACGCTGGGCAGGAGCAGGAAGGGGCTGGGGACAGGGCAGAGCTGATGGGGTCTGCAGAAGCCCCCGGGGCCACGCTTTCAAGTAGCCATGCTCTGTGCACACGGGTCCCCCCACCCACCCACCTTGACAACACTTTCCTCTTCAAATGATTTTTGGAAAACACACTCTTTAAAAGAAGCCAAGCCTGCTATTAGACATAATCAAAGGGCAGGGAGAGAACGGACTTCAGTTAACACCCTGCCAGCGGAGGACATGAAAGGGCACGCAGCGCTGGAGATCAAACACCCCAGGGCCCCACAGGCCAACAGCGGCCCAGGGCCTCAACACCCCAACGCAGCGCCACCTACTTGTGCACACATCGTCCCAGGCCGCTGCTGTGCCGCAGGAGTCAGGGTATCCGAACAGCGCCCCTGTCTCCCACAGAGCCACTACCATTTACTACTGGGCCCTTTACACAAAGAGGGCCCTGCCTTCTCC